AAAACAGGGTAAACATTTCATGATTATGATGCAACGAGGTGGAGGAAAGCGAGAAGAGAATGACACTCGAAATATTTGAGAGTAGCTTACATGGGCTAAAAAATTATGCAAATGAGTATTTTCACCAGTAAATCAATCACTGCAATGTTGATGAGATTCTTTATAGATTGAAATTACTTTGTAAGAGAAATTTTGGGAGTGGTTCTCCACGCTCCCCCCTTCAAATCACTCTGCTATAGTCTCCAAATTACTGAAAAGGCATTCCAAGTTCGGCGTTTCTGACCATTGGCATGGCGAATATTTGTGTATGTTATGTTCCAGCAAAATCGAAATTGAAATCGCCGAAATGTTAGCGATAAAAGATAAATAAAATCTTGTTTCGTTGAAACATAACACACACGAATACTAGATAAGCATTCCATGTTTGGAATGTGGGGCTAACGCCACACTCGTTTGTCTCGAAAATTCTGTCACTATTTCCCCCTCCTTCCCCTCTCGCGAACTAAATTGAAATTCTGGGATTAAAACTGATTCTAAAGTAGCTTGGGAACATCAGCAATAACGCCATTTTACCAATCAAGCGAGAAAGGGAGGCAAGCTAAAACCAGGAGACTTCAACATAAAGCGCTTGTTGCGAATTGAGGGAGGGATAGCAGCACAAGAAGAACTAGTCAAAAAACATGCCATAAGTTCACTTCATATTTGATAAAAAACGAAAGGAGAACAAGCCCTACAGAAAGTAAAAAATTAATTCTTTAGGGTAGATATGCCCTACCTAGCTCTTGAAAAGATGGCATCGGTCCAGTTCGCCCTTCAGTCGCTGGTATTGCATATCCATCGTCGTCTGTTGCAACTGTTTGGCTTGTTCTGACTACCTTCGTTGTAGTTGAGTGAACGCTTTGTTCCGAATGAACAACCTTATGTAATAGATAAATAGAGATGGACCTTTTTCTTTAAATCCTTACTTCGTTGTCTTTCAATTTGCTCGTTAAGTACTCATCCGTACGACGATTTTCCTTCTCAATTCTTATGATATTATCTTTTGGGCCTCCTGACTTTTCTGAGACACTTTGCGATGGACCCTGAACCTGTGGTCATTGATCGACTTCGAAAGAAACAAAAGAGCACTCTTACCTTGCTATAATGTTCAACAAACCATGGTCCGCGCGAACGACGTTTAGGGGTTGCTTCGAGAGGCACCTCGTACGTCCCATCTGCAGACATCATTCCAGCCATGAACTTTGAAGGGCTGTGCACTAGAAGAAAAATTCGAATAACTTACCTCAACAACTCATCAACAAGAGGTCATAACGTAACAAGAGAAAAGGAGTGAAAGCAAAAATGCTTCAGTTAACCTACCAAACAAAACCCAGTACTATGAGTGAAAGACAGAATCTTTTTTATGAAAAAGCTCACTGCTGCTCCATTTTTGTAATTTTTCCACGTAGTCTTGAACCCCAGCATCAACGCGAGTTTGCGGATGACTTGTTGTGCGAACACGTTCTGGTTGCGACTGTTTGAGAGGAATCTTAGAAGATTCTGGAAAAGCCATCGCTGTACATTAACGGAGCCAACAAGAATATAAACAAACTGAGAGAAGCCTTTGAAGACGACTGCTTGGACGGAGATCGTTGTTTGTGGGGGCTGCAAGAAAGCTTAGTTATTAACCAGAAAAAGCGCGTTTTTCAGGCGAGAATAAAATAAAGACGGGTTTTTGGAAATAAGCCAACAAAATTAGCCCAAGATATTGGTTACAGAGGTCAATTCTTTTGAAAAGGATGAATATGAAAACTAATTAATCGAATAAACTATACCTTCGTCTATGAAACTGAACTTCAGCTGAGTACAAAACAGACTTTGTTTCGCTGGAGTTCTTCTCCCATGGATGTGACTGATGAGGAGATCGAGATCTGTCTGCAACTGACATGAAATATGGAAAGCACAATAGAAGGATTGATACTGTCAGGAAATGCAGTGTTGGACAAGGGATATTGCGAGAGTTTGTGTTAGAAGAACCAGCAAATGGGAATTTGTCCAAAAATGGTGAAAGTATATGACTCATTGTATTTATTTTCGGGAGTAAAGAACGCGGCACTCATTCTAGTCGCTGTATATCAGCACGAGTACTAACCACAAAGAAAAAAAAAGAAAAAACCACGCTCAAAGACTGATAAACAGTAATCAAAAGTGCATTAAATGATCAAGGGACAAGCCATTATGCTAAGCATACCTGGTCTAGTATGGTCATGGTGAGTCTCGAATGCACGCTGAAAACAAAATGTGATTGAAACCTATTCGCAAAGAATGGGCGCTTACCCTTCTCTCCATTGCCAAGTAATCAAGCGATGGAGCACTTGCAAATCTAAAAGTATCCTTATACAATGAGTTACTTTCATACAACAGACAAATTTGATGAAACCCAAATACGGAAGAAAAACAGCGTAGATGTTGTTTGTCACCGTTGCCAGGGACAATTACTGCTTCATTATCGACTCCTTTTATGCAAATAGTGAAGGTTCGCGCTGAACAACACTCAGAGTGCTATTGCGACACATGTGAAACCACGTCTACCGCGCACACCAAAATTTTGCACACCTCCTTTTCGCTCGCATGTCACTCACCAGCACAGGTTGTATTAAAATAAACTGGATAGCGGGCTTCGGCCGGGGCACGTGAGTAAAAATCTCACGTTAATTGTCCACTCAGACAGCTTCACCGCCTTGGACATCTTGAACAAGTCAAAACAGGGTGTCTGTACAACTTTTCTAGAGTCAATATTGCATGTTGCATTGCAATATTGCACGTTAGTTTATTGATATTCTGCCACTTCGCCTCTTGCTTGCTTTCCATAATCTTGATAGCCTGCGGTATGCAGGCTGCAGGCATGCAGCCTCAGGCTGTATTCCCCAGCTGCTTATATTTAAAGGCAGTGTCCGCGCAGATTAAGAGCTCCTCAGTTCCAACAGTTTACTGAAGCGGGCTCCT